GGGCACCAGCTGCACTCGCCGCCTTAGCAGAGGGGCCTGTGAGGGCTGGCAGGAAACCGGTATGGCTCTCCACCGCGTCCAGATAAAGGATTTGCCTACGTAAAACCGGGAGAAATGAGGAGGCTAAATAAAGTCTGACTAACTTAAATGTAAAAGCTCTTCCTTTTTATTTGTTTGGGTATTTAGGGTTTTTTTAGTTGTTTGTTTTTTTTAAAAAATGATAAACATTATGCTTTGGTAGATGGGGATATTTTTATTCGATGTTTTCCAATTTCTTGGCAACTTACAGTACTGCTAATGAAGCAGTTACTGACAGAACTTGTAAAGTTGATGTTAAAATGTTTTAAAATGCTGTAGTGAGCCTTGTATAGCAACATCCACATTTAATGGAAGAAAAGAAAAATCAGATTAAATTTGAGAAAAAGGAGATTGAAAGAGTGGCACAGAGCATTTATCTCTAAAATACATAAATGATAAAAGTTACGAGAGTCTATCATTACAAACCTCTTGCATGAAATGCATTAATGCTTTACTGGAAGTTCCAGTCCTGTGCTCCCTGGATGTTCCCCTTTGGTTTGTGTTGGGATGGCCGTTGCCTTCCCCAGGCCACGACTGATCTTCTGGTCTGGGCCGACACACCAGAACCAGCGCTTTTCTTCCTGTTCCAGGTGTGACAGCCTGCCAGCTGCCTTCCCAGCTCTCCCCATCCTCATTTCTGTCCTGCATCCTGCCTCGTTCCCCTCACGTCGCCAAATACAATTAAGTTTTCTTTGTAATCACTGCTGCTGGACTTAGTGTTTCCCATCAGCATAGCCAAGTCCCTGGTAATGCAGCTGCCTGACTGCTGGTTTGCATACCTGTCTCTGAACACTTTTATATTGCCTTCATCCTTCTCCCTCCTAACAAAAAACTTGTACATAGTTTCATATGTTATGCAAAAAGCATAAATCAATGTATGGTAACTGCTTCTGCTCACTCAGCCGCAGGTTTGGCCTTTATGGTGATACAGCATTTCCCAGTATTAGGCTTTGTTTGCTCTGATTATCTGTGGTTTCTCTGTCTAAACTTTGTGATAGTCTAAGACCTCAACTTCCTACTGCCAAAATTGCATGTTTTTGTAGGTGCTGCTTTGTCTTCTTAGCAACAGTAGTTGCAAGAAACAATAGAGATGGAGCGAGCTGAGAAGCTGTGCTGCTCTAGTGACATTTGCCTCTGACAGATGGTTGATGAAGATGCACTGTAAAAAGTGAGCTCATATAATAAGCACTGATATAATGCTTATTAGTCAAACCACAGGTACAATTACCATAGCTCATTTCTAAAGGGACCTCTTGTTTTGAAATTGCAGTCATAAATTTTAGTGGTAGATTTGAATTTGTCTAAGTGAATTCAGTAAAGTTCGTGGGTATCAGTAAAGTTTGTGGATACCTACCTTTTTTCATTTATTCCTAGAATGGGGACTTGGGTGTGAAATATGATGCAGACTTTAACATATGGTCCATTTTTTCTAAAATACTTTAAATAGCAATGACTTCAGGATGCAACACTTAAAAAATTCCTGGCTGTGAATTTCTGAGACATTCATAATTTTTTGTATTGTAGAAAATAAACCTTAGTATCCATAAAGCTTAGTAACCATTTCCACTGGAATCTGCCCTGAGACAGAATTGCTCAAGAGAATACATAGCCCTAAGATTAGAGCTGCTGCCTTTCTGTGCTGGGGAAATCTCAAGATTGTAGCTGCAAGTTAGGTTCTGCTGGTAGCAAGGTCACCATGCCAAGGCAATGGCAGCTACATGGGGCTCCGGCCCTGGGAGCTTCAGTCAGCTGGAATCTTTCCAGGGGAGATGAGACTCTATTTTCTTTTTCTCCTCTAAATGCAACTTTCAAGTTTCCCTTTGTACACTGTATCTGATCAACATCTCTCAGAATCGTGGATGGAACATGAACTGCAAAACTCTCAATTTACTTTGGGGAGCTTAGGCTGGTAAGAGGAACATTGTCCTGCTCGTGGGAAGCTCAGGTTTGGTCTCTAATTCAATTTATGGTCATCCTGATGATTGAAATTTGATTACTGCAAAGTGCATTTAATTAAATTTCTATAAAGGAGATTGGCAGAAGATGCTGTACATTTATTAAGGCAGCTTTCTAACATGAATTGCTGGAACGATGGACATATGAACAGTTATGCTTATTTGCTTTACCTGAAAACTGTAAAATATTGAGGTGAAATTGTAAAAGCAGTAAGAGAATATAATAATTTTTATTGCTCACTTTCAGTGCTTCTAGCAGGAAATGTACAGCGTGTGACAATTCATCCTGGTAACAGCTTTGTAAGTAGATCAATAGCACAGATTACTTCAGTTTTTACAGAAGTTGCAAGTACTATAGAGAGATAGTGGGATCATGGTTTGTAAACCTTAAACCACACTTTCCTGCACAACAATCTGCAAAGATACTCTTTTTTTGTGAAGCAGGTATGTGATTTTCAGCTGCAAGGAACTTCCTCTTTCTTCACAAAGACTAAAATGTTTTTGAGAACATGCATCCCGCTGTTGCCTTCTAGTTTGCGCTTGAGTGATCAGGTGTTTTGTTAAGTGAAGGGTTTGTCATGAACCATTTTGTGACTCTTCAAGTTTTCGATGTCCAACTTCAGCCAGCAGAAATGGAGACCCTGGATCTGTTGAGGAATTGTTCAGTGTGCAAATGGGACCTGCGGAGGAGAGACCCCAGGATGCTACCTTGCCTTCATTCCTTCTGTAAGGACTGTCTTCCGGATTTGATTCAAGGATATAGCTATATTCCCACTGAGTATGAACTGCTATATGAAGGTAATATTTAAGAATCTCTGGCTTGTGCTCTTTGTCTTAGAGTATTATAAAAATAGATGTATTGAGAAGTACTTTTTGTGGCCTGTTCCTTTACAGAACTACTTTAAAAGGATAAACTAGGAGACTCAAGATTTGTATGAGCAGAGGGTGTGTTGGGAACAAGCCTCCATTATTTTTTTTCTTCCAACAGCAATGTTTTGAAGAGAAATGTCAGAGTCATTTAATATTTTATTATTTTCTACATTTTTATTTATATATTTATAAATTTAATGTATACATTTATACATTTAATATTTTCCAGAATGGGCTACATTTCAGTTACCAAGTGTGACATTATGAATATTTGATTTACTTAGCTTAATAAATGAATAGATGCTACATCTAGGCTACATCTTTACCTAATCTTTCAGACATGCTGGACCTTTCTATGGTCACAGTTGTGGTGCTAGCCCTACGCTTCCTTC